CCTGTTTGGGAAAGAAGCACATGGGTATGCTCAAAAGGCGGGAAAAGCCTCCCTTGATGTGCCCGATGGCATTGTCGCTCGCATCGACCCCGAGTTGGATGAAATTCGATACGGAAATGTTGATGCGGGCACAAGTGTAGCGAACATCAATGCCCTAACTGTGCATCTCAGTGATAAGTGGAAAGTTAAGCTGATGGAAGACAATCAGGCCACGATCACTATCCTGCAGCAGGGACACTCACAGAAGCTAAGGCACACGGATAGGACCCAACGCATTAGCTTTAGATGGCTCCAGGAGCAATTCGTGAATAGGCAGTTCGAATTAATCAATGTTGACACTACCCTCCAAGCTGCAGACATCTTGACCAAGGCGTTTGCCAGCACCCCAGTGTGGCACCATGCACTTGAGCTGATCGGTATCTCCCCCAATCGCCAGGCGCGAGCCTGTGCCACCAGTTTGCTGCTCTCCCCATGCGCCAAGGCCGGAGAAGTTAGCGATCAGGGGGGGCAGATCGCTGCGTTATGCAACGTTCAGCCCAAGCGCCTCCTTATTGAATTCTGTTGTTCGACGACCTCACGGTTGGGCGAATCAAGAGACTCTTCAAAAGGATGTCGTGTCATTCGGGTAACTGAAACCGAAGACGGGTGCTCTGATACATGCAGGCAGTGGTTAGTCCATGAAATTGCCGAATTTAGGAGCAAGAATCCTAAGGGGGCAATAATGTTCTACGTTTCGTTGCCTTGCACTGGAGGATGCCCGTGGGGTTATGTCAACCAGCAAACTCCCAAAGGTGCCGCCAAAATTGAGGGTCACATCAAGCAATTCCGATCACTGTTGAGAGGGTTCAAACGCATTCTCAATGATGTCTATTCTGATGACGTTAGAGTTGCCTTCGAACTCCCCAAGGCGTGTCGTTATTGGAAATGGCCCGAACTATGGAGTTTCTTGACTAAGTACAAGATGAACAAGTATGAATTCCATGGTTGCAAAATCGGAATCAAAGGGAGAAATGGAAAACCTATGAAAAAGCAGTGGGTCGTTGCCAGTAATATGCCCACTATTTCCGTGGTTGAGTACTTCAAGTGTGATGGTTCTCACGAGCATGATGAAAGCCGTGGCACGCATTTGAAGGAAGCCGAGGGATACACGTATGTTTACACCGATGCCGTTCACAATGCATTTTCCGAACATGCCACCATGCAGCCGTTGCTTTCGAGTGATTGTGCTGCATCTTCTTCGCAATGAGCAGCGCGACGGCTATGGCGCATCCCGCGAGGGATTGCGATCCGGCATGGAGGAGATGGATGGAGAATGTCGCTACCACTTCGGTATGCACGAACGGCAAATACGACGCTAACCTCGCCGCCACGGTCAAGGGCCTCCTCGAGACGACCTCTGCACAGTCGCTTATTCATACATGGGTGCAGGACCAACCGCACTACCTGCAATTGCTTACACCCCTGTTAACCATAAGCGAACCGTACTTGAAAGTTTTGCAGGCCCCACGTGTACCAGACCGCGACCTCCTTATCTATGTGACTGTCGCTGATTCAGGACTGTCCATGGTTTCGGGCAAGAAGCGCAAGCTTCGCAAGTACGACTTTGCGGAGCGTTTGGATGCCTCTCGCCCGGCGCGTGTCGGTGCATGGAGGTCTGAAATGCTTTGGGGCAAGGGCTTACAACAGCTGTGCAAGCGGTTGGCCGCCCTCATCGACGAGGTGCGTACCGACTACCCAGCAGCCACCATCATTCCGATGATTTACTGGAATGGCAACGAGCTCGTTGGGAAGGACGGCCTCGAGCCCACTGGTACATATCCTTACGATACCCCCATCGGAGACGCCGAACAACTTCTCGCTGACACCAAACGGCACCTGGCTTGGACCAGGGACTTCGCGGCCCGCAAGGGCTGCGCATGCCTTGGAGTCATGACCGGCGCGAAAAGCTATCTCTACGGCTTCTCTATGATTTGGGATCGTTTCATGACGGAAGTCCGGGATTACATCATCGGCGACCCCAACAATATGTTTGTGTATGTAGATGCTACACCCTTCGTCGAGACCATCGATTTGCTGGACAGGTATCATATGTGCTTCAGTGACGACAATATCACTAAGACCGTCCAGTTTATGCGCGGAACCCATCACATGTTGTATATGCTTTCCATCTTGCGCCCCGCAATGGGCAGCGTAGCTGAGCTGACACGTTCGCATGATTGCACCATGCGTCCGATCGATGTGCCCGAGGTGCGCCACCAAGAGGATTGCACAGTCAACGTTGAGGTTCTCGCGTACTGCAAGGAAACGCTAACGAAGTGCGGTGTTTCATTGTCAGAGATGATCGGGCTCCCTTTCACCCGTGAAGAAGTGGAGGTCCGGCAGCCCCTCGATTTCGCCCCTGTCGATCCAGCCGAGTTTGCAACTTCAGGTGAGCCTTCCGGTGCTGATGTTTCCGAAAGTGTTCGCCCGGCGCAAGCCGGTGCAAAGGCGGCTGCGGTGGCACAGAGGGACGAGGCGACGAGCAGGCCGGTACCACTCGACTCCTACGGGAGGAACGTGACTGGGGGCCACTACGATTGCTGGGTGTATAGCATTCATGATGGCGTGAAGTATGTCGACTATGGTGAGGGCCCCAAGCGACTCGAAATCATCAAGCAGCCTTCTTTCGATTACGACCCTTCCGTCAGGAGAATCAGCAACGAGTACCACAGCTCCCTGACGTGCATCTCAAAGATCCTCCGTGGTCGTGGGACAGAAGGATGTGGGTACGTGATGGATGAGGACGGCTACATGGACCTTGAAGATTTGGGACTCGCGCTTCGCAAGGAGCTGCGACATCCCATTCCATGGAATGTTCAGAATATCATGGACATCTTCAAGCTCGACAAAAAGCAGAGGTTCATTGCGCTTGGTTGCCCGGACGCAAGCCGGTGCGGAGACGTCCCATGTTCTCATTGGATTTTCAAGGTCAAGGCCTCCCAAGGCCATGAGGACTGGCTCCAAATCGACGACTCCGGCATCGCGAAGGAGTGGTACGTGAACCCGGGGACTGACCTCGGGCGCTGGTCTGGCTGGAACGTCTGCAGCAACCCTCCTACGGTGCTCTATCATCGCACCGATAAGCGGAACTTCGCCAACATTATGCGAAACGGACTGCTTCCAGGAGGAGGTGACCAGCACGAGACAGGCAGACCTCACGTTTTCTTCGCTGACATCCCGAGCACGAACGAAAATTACATCTCAGGCGTACGTGCTAACAAGCCCTTGGAAATACAGATCGACCTCAGGATGGCCATTCGCGCAGGGCTTTGCTTTTTCAAGACAGAGAGCGATGGCGTCCTCACGCGCGACAAGGTGCCCAACTACACGATTATTTCTGTATTGGACGCTACAAATGGCGATGTATGGTACACTCGCTCTGAGCAATCGGATGCAGGTGCACCAGCTGAGGCGACTGAGGATGAACCCCAGGGGATGAAGCGCGACCAAGCCGTGGTTGATGATCGGTCTACAGCACTGGAGCGCATTGCTACAACCCGCACCAATGTGGCGTTTCCTCGCGCCCCGCAAGGGGAAGCGAAGAGACAGAAGACTTTCAACCCAATGGAGAACGTTGAGCTGAACGTCGCCACGTGCCCGGTTTGCAACAACAGTGTGTTCGAGGGGCAGGTCCACTGCTCATCATGTGGGCAGTTGTCACCCCTCAATCCTCGCCTGTTGAAAGAGCAGCAAAAGAATTACATTGTGCAGCGTTCCAATTTGCTGAAGAAGATGGGCCTCAGCACCCATGTCACGGCTCAGGTTTTGGCATCCGTTGGAACTTTTGACCTCCGCGAGGAGGATCGGAGTAGCATCATTCGTGGCTTGAACTCCCCGGACAGTGCTGTTATTCAGGAGGCCCGGAAGAAGCACAAGTCCGCCCTGAAGAACGGCTACCACTCTCTGCTTGATCGCTATGAACTCGACCTTCAATACAGGGTTCGTATGCTTGAGGTGGGCCGTCGGGATGCGGATATACTCCGCATGGAGTTGTGTGCAAACCTCGTCTTGGCTGCTCCAAAGCAGTCGCAAGCCCAGCGCACTCTGGGAGTTGGCCTTGGATCAACTTCGGAGTCGCGAATCGCAAGGCTCGCGTACATAAAGACGGAGTTGGAGTTTTTGCCCAGTGAATTGCAAGATGCACTCAGCTCCCGCTGGATCATCATGTTCCAAGGGATGCCATACAGCCCACGGGCTTTTGTGAATGTTGTCTTCGAGCAGGACAAGCCTCGCAGCATTGGTTGTTGGAATGGCATCATCCATTTGCGAAGCAACGCCCTCGAGGATCTCCGCCACGAAATGGACTGGATATTCAGCCAGAACGAGCGTTACGCTCGTAACTCGATCGAGTTTTCGAGGAACGAGAGCAGCAAGCACCTCGCTCGCAACGCCGCTCGCTATGCCGATACACGTGCTCCCGCCGCCCGCGAGGGTGAGCATTGGAGCCAAGGCAGCTGGCAGAACTGGTCCGGATGGAGCGGATGGGACAACAGTAGCGGAAACTACTCTACGTGGCAGTGGCGCTAAAGGCGCAACTGTCATGGTTTGCATGTGTCAATGGTTCCCCTGACCTCTCCCTCTGTTGTGTTACTGTTTGGCTGCTTTGTGAAAGGCCCCTTTAACACGCAGAGGGGGGTGAAGAATTAGATCGGTCAGTTTGGGGTTTTACATCCATTGCATCCGCAGTGTGGCTGTTCAAGCGTGAAAATGTGCGAGCAGCGCACTTGGACGGTTTGTTGTTTCCTTTTGGGCCCCAAACCGATAACCCTTGAATCTATAGCAATGCCAGAGCGCGGTTGCTTTTGCTTCCAGTTTGGTCCGCGTGGCTTGATTTCTTGGAAAGTGAACTTGGGCGCTAGGCAGGTTGAACTGGTTGATATTTGAGGTTTCCTTCATGCCCCCAATGTCAGTGGCATATTCAAACCGACGAAAGGCTGCATCGCTGGCCGCGCCGCGCCGAGGCAAGCAGTACGGGGACTCCTTCCTCGTCCTGAAGGACGCGCGTTTGCGGTGCACGTTCTCACCAGAGGATTCTGCAAACCTGAAGGCGTGGGGTGGTGGCTGGGTTGTCGGGAGGCTCCCTCCCCGTTTCGGAAAAACACTTTGAGTTTATCGTTCTTTGAGGGTCCCCCATTGTTTGGTGGTTTTAAACACCATCTTTTTGGGGGGCCCTAAAAACAGGACACACCCAATTTAGGGGGGAGGCACCATGTTTTCATCCATGGGCCCTGAGGCCGACAAGCTGGCGGTGCTGGACTTTTATGGCCACGTGCTGGCCTTGTACGACGACGCGGAGCTGCGGGAAACAATCAAGGCGTGGGGTGGGGAAGTCGGGGCTGGGGGGGGGGTGTGGAGGCTGGGAGGGGTGGGGGGGTTGGGGAGTGGGGGATGGGGGCTGTGGGGTGTGGGGTGTGGGGTGTGGGGGGTGGGGGGGCTTGAGGTTCGTTTGGGGGAGGGTGGCAAGATTGTTGTCACACCAGTGGAGGTGACGGTGCCTTAGCTGAACCTGCCCTCCGTGCATCTCGTGTTCCCATTTCGGAAGTCAGGCTTCCGCTTTCTTCAAAATCTTCCAGTCACTCTCTGAGTTCATGGGCCTGAACACTTTTTGGGTTGCCATTTTAGTGGCAAACCAGATTGGACTCTTTTCTGGCCAGCACTCGATCGGAAGTGAGTGAGTCCCATAACCTTTATGCCAAGCGGTCGGCAAAGCATTTTGCCCTGGTGTCCCCTTCCGCCGAAAAAGGGAAGTGAGTGAACCACTTTTCTGCCCCAAGCGCTCGGCTTTCCCTTCCCCCAGCGCGATCGTCCGGTCAGGTGGCCACCAGCACGGAGAGTGCGCTGCTCGGGGATTCCGAGAAGGCGGGCGATGGTTTGCCCCCCCCCCCCCCTGGTCACCCGAGGTACACCCGGCATCTCATGTCTCAAACATCCAATGGCCACTTGCTGGATTCTTGGTGCGAAAGCCTTTTGGATTGCCTTTGAGGGAATCCAGGCGAACATGCTCACAGAAACTCTTTGGACTTTCTTCCATTTCCAGGTTCTCCGAGTTTAAGCAACGCCCTGGTTCGCATTTCGACGACTTCCTCCCGAAGTCTCAGGCTTCTCAGAACGGCGTGCCGGCCGATGTCTCATCAGGGCTGAGTCCTAGCTTTTAGCCTTTTAGTGTTTAGTGTCCATTTAACCCACTAAAAGTTGAACTTTTAGCAGGGGATCTGAGGGCAGCCCAGTCATTTTGGCTATCTTGGCTGCTGTCTTCTACTTGCTGGCGCGCCTGTGGTCAGCTGCGTCTCCTGGCTTTGCTCCGCAGACTGCTTTCCGCAAACTGGCCCTGCGTGCCGCGTGTTGGATGGGCGCATGTTTGCCTCAGTTTGGGCGCGCATTCTGGGGCTGAAAGCACGCCTCGATCTGTTTTGAAGCATTTCGATTGCACCAAGCAAGGAACAGCTCGTTCTTGTTTCGCAAATATGCGCGCGCAGTGCGTTTTTGCAGGGGACCGTTGTTTTCTCGTTTTGCTGTGTTGAAATGTTTGCTTTTTGCGAAATATGTTTAAGCTCCTTCCCTAGCCGCACACGAAATTCTCGAAGTATATTGTCATTCTTGCCACGCGCCGTCATTTTTGCGGAATATCTCTTTCGTAAAGCCACATCTTTCATCTGGGAACGGTTGGAAACAGAGGTCGAAGATGTTTTTGGGGACCGGGACCCTCGCAGACCCCGAAAGCTGGCGAGGAATTGGAGGACCACCCACTGAGCGGAGACTTATATCCACGGCGTTTGCGGGTTGTCTCACCATGATGTTCTTACCACCACTTTCCTGACGTACCGAATCGATGATCCGATCGCCCCTGTACTCGCAACGCTTCCCCTAGAAAACGGGCTTGCCAGTTCCTTGGGGTCGTGGATGGCTTAAGAAGGATCCCTGGAATGGTTGGGAAGCTTCCCTAGAAAACCAACCAAAAGGGGGAAGCCCTTGCCCAAAAAACAACATACATAAAATGAGCACACATACACACACACACCCATTGCGGCGTCCCCGAAACAAACCCGTTGTTTTTGTTTTGGCGCTCAAGGGGTACCCCGATGGGCCACAACCTATGTCTGAAACCGAAAGGTTGGGAAGCTTCCCCTAGAAACTGTTTTTGTGTTTTGCCCCCCCCCCCCCCAGAAACCGTTGTTCTTGTTTTTTGGGCGTCAACCCCCCCCACCCCATGCGGCATCCCCGAATGACATTTTTTTTTTTTTTTTTCTACCGTCAGGTGGGGAACATGAAGTACAAGGAGGCCCAGGTGCACGGGGAGGTGGACCTGCGGCGCCACGTGGAGCGCTTGGTGGCCCACACCCGGCACCGGGACAAGGGCGAGGGGGATCGGATCAAGGCGCGGCCGACGTCTTGGATAGCTCCTAGGGGCGATCGATTCGTGACGTCAGGTAAGTGGGTAAACATACATGGTGAGAGAACCCGCCAAAGCCATGGTTATAAGTCTCCGCTCAGTGGGTTACATTCGATTCGGTACATGGTTGTGGGATCTCGCGGGTTTTCTCCCCACTTCTGTGATACAAGGGAATCTTTTTTTTGACAAAATAGTCTTTGGGAAGCCCTTTCTGTTGTATCGCAGAAGTGGTCATTCCCCACAGCCCTGATTCGGTACGTAAGGGAAGTGGGTAGTAACCATGGTGAAACCAGGGTTATACATCTCCTATGTAAGTTATAACCAGGCTTGTGAACCACTTACTAAGTCTCTGCGGTACAGGGTTGTGGGATCAAGAGGTTTCTCCACACCTCTGCGATACAAGGGAATCCCCGTTTATATGAACAAAATAGTCTTTGGGAAGCCCTTTCTGTTGTATCACAGAAGTGGTCATTCTCCACAGCCCTGATTCGGTACGTCAGGAGCGAATAAAGGATAAGGACTCTGCCCACGGCTGTGCAGCCCTTGTTGCGCAAGCTGAAGAACGAGAAGCACAATCTATCTTTTGTCGACCACCCCGTCAAAAGCCGGCAGAGACCTCCGCGAGGGAAGTGACAACCGTACACAAGGTACAAAAGGTAAATATTCGACCCACCAACAGTGCGCTCTAATCTTCTTTTTTTTCCGCATTTCTCAGCTTGCGCAACTATCAAAAGGGCTCTCTGCGGGCTTTCGGTGGGTCGGCCTGAAGAGACCCGTGTTTGTTTTTGCCAAAGAGCGAAGAGGAAAGAGAAGGAACAAAAGCAAGAGAAAAGACGGGTGGCCCGAAGGCATGACATTTGGTGAGTGAAGCATGTTCTCTGCACTAGTGGTCTCTGCACGAGTTGACTCTGCAAGTCTATCTGGACAAGTTGTCCGAGCCAATTTCTCCGAGCAAGAGTGTTTGAGCAAGGTCTCTCAGCGACCTCTCTCAAGTTCTCGGAGCAACTTCTCTGAGCAAATTCTCTGCGCAAGTTTCTCTGCAAAAACCCTTCGCGGTGCTTTCGGGACAGAGACAAGCGAGAAGAGAGAGATCTAGAGAGAAACGAGAGAAGAGAAAAGATAACAGAGAAAAGAGAAAGCAAAGAGACAAGGGAAGAGGCACAGGGAAAGAGAAAGAGAGAAGAGAGAAGAGAACAGAGAAAAGACAACAGAGAAAAGAGAAAGAGACAGAACAGAGAACAGACAAAGCAGAAAAGAGAAAGGGAATACTACAAAAAAGAGGGAGACACGGGGAAATGAAATGTCTTCCAAACTACAGTGTTCATATTGTCTGTTGAAACTGGGGTTGGATTGGGAAATTCTCAAGTGCAGAAAGACAGAGAAAGAAAAAGAGAACGAGAGAAAGAGACAGAGAAAGACAAAGAGAGAGAGAGAGAGAGAGATATTCTATTTTTGATGAGCAGTTTTTGCCCAGAGAAAAGACAATGATGATGAGCAACTGAACATCCTGATGATCCGCCTGTAACACTAAACCTTTGAACAAGGGCAGAATGGGTCGTAGAAGGATCTCCTCAGGCGCAGCCCCTTGGACAATTCGCATGGGTAGGGGCCCTAGGTACAAGACGCACGCTTTTCAGAACCATGCTAAGTGGGAGATAACGAGGCAGGATTCCACTTTTTGACTACCCCAAGGTAGACTTAATCCAAGGGGTTTTCCTTTGGGGGGAATCAGCCACCCCTGGGTTTAAGTCTACCTTGGGGTAGTCAAAACGTGGAACCCTGTAACCCGGGCTTCCGGTTTGCAAAGTAGCTGTCCCCCTTCTGGGCCTTTTGCTTTTAGTGTACTGCCAAGAGTTTTGCTCGGGGTTCCGCACGGTGTGAAGCGGAAGATGTGGAAGCGGGATCCTTTTGGCTTCCCAGGAGTCGACCTTGTGGCCTTTTAGCTTCCCAGGTTTGATCCGCAAGGTTTAGTCAGGGCCTGGAACGGAGATCGACTAATTATTATTTCCAGGCTCACTGGTTGCGAGTGAGACCACTGAGGTCTGACAGTTGCAACCGTCGCCCCAGGCCGTGTGCAAAGCCAAGGGCTTCCAATTCTCTTGGATGGATGAGGAGCCGCGGGATGCGTTCAAAGATGCAGCCACGTGAATCACCCTGGGAAGCAGGGCCGCGTATTCCCGTGTTAGATTGTGCAGTCGGGTTCGTGAAAGCCTTGCGCGTCACAGTTTGCCCCGTTGCGTCGCTCGGGCCGAAAGCATTTGAGATGTCAAGGCTCTTTTTGTCGGTTTCAAGCAGCGTCCAGTGGTCCAGTGGGGGTGGGGGAGGGAGGAGGCCTGGAATTGAGTTCCAAGCAGAATTTGAAGAGCGCGTTTTTCTGCTCCCAAACCTTGCAGGGGCTACGGCCCATCGCCATCACAAACCACTGGCTGGCAAATGGTGCGGGGCTTGTGCAAACATTTGCGTCGGATAGCAGCGCTGCCTGAAATGGATTCCAGGAGTTGCAATAGGGGGTAATCTACAAGCTACCTGCCAAAGCTGTACGGGTCAGAAGAACCGTTCCGCTGGGTAATCCCATCGGTATTTTTTCGTGTCGCGGCCGCTACCTAGAGGTAGCAACTGCGGAAATGTTTTTCCTCTCCATCGCTCTTCGCCCAGAGGCTCCTGGGGCTTCCAATGGAAGACCCGACCCTTCCATTAGACTTTCCGGAGGTGGTTGGGGGTCTCAAAACCCGGTTGTTTGAAGGCCCTAAATGAATCGAATTGGAGCCGTTGGGCGGCAAAAAAAAGCCACGCAACAACTTTCAACATGAGATCTCGCCCAGGAGCAGGAGCGCATGCGCATGGAGTCCGCCGGCATGTTGGGTGGCAAGGCGTGGCAGGAGCGGCTGCAGCATCTGCAGGAAGACTGCGGGGAGCTGGAGGCCCCGAGCGGCCCGTTCTGCGGGGCCCAAGGGGGCCGAGGGCTGATGGGGCCCCAGTTTTTTTTCCTAACAACATATCAGAATCAGTTCTTCTTGAGATGTTGGCTTCATTTTTTGAGAGGGAGGGGGTGGAGTTTGAGCCACTCACCTGGCCAAGGGCAATGAAGCAGCGTGGACGGGTTCGGTTTGCTTCGGGAGGGGGGTGGTCCGGTGGTCCTCCCATGCCACCAATACTTAGCTAGTAAGCGGTTCGCACAATCCTGGCCAGATAACCTTCAAAAGCAAAGTCTCTTAAGGGAACTTTCTGTGCAAATCTGACCCAAAGGGTAGCGTGTCCACGGCCAGTATGTGCACTTATGTGAAGTTTACTTCATCAAAAGGGGCCTGGGCCATGGAACCAGAGCGTGCTGGAGTTGGATCATCCCGCCCCATCTTGAGAGAATCCCGCATCTCCAACAGCCCTTCCCTGTGCTCGAGGGCAGCAACTTCATGCTTTAAGGGTATGTGCCGCGCAGATAATCTTTGCATATGTATCTATGGGAACAACATTTGTACTATTCAAACGCGTGCGCCTATATGGGTGTTGTTTGTTGGGCACCCCCCCCCCAAAAAAAAAATAAAATAAAAAATAATAACAAAAACAAAAATCAAAAACACCAAACAAAAACCAGAAAAAGAAAAAGAACGCATCCAACAAATCAACACATGGTCTTCCTTTTGGTTTCCTTTTAAAAAAAGCCAAAACAAGCACAAAGAAGGGGTACCCTCCACAAAAAAAGGACACAGCCGTGCGCTCCACGCCTACGTGTAGCACCCACGTGTAGCGCTCTCAGAGCCGCAGGTCCCGCCGGGCTACTGCCGCGTGGGCTGCGGGCGCCGCGTGGCGCCCGGGGTCACTCGCGCGGGCCGGCCCTTCGCCACCTGCTGCCGCGGCTGCGCCCTGATCCAAGGGGTAAGCTGGGGCCTTTTTTGGGCCAAGGGAAGCCAGGGAAGATTGAAATGGGAATGAGCCAAAGGAGCCGCAGGCGTCCTGCTCTCTTTTTGTTCTTCTTCTTTTTTTTAATGTAAAAAGCAAGATGAAGCATCTTTTTTTGGACCAGCGGTTGATTTGCTCTTGGGGTGGGTGATCATACAAAAAGCCCTGAAACAGGACAACGCAATAGCCTCAGGCCCAAAGCCTCACCCCAAAGCCGAGCTGAAGACCCCGTCGCTGAGCCCCCTTGAAAGCGCAGGAGTCGGAGTCCTATTCCAGGGTCGTTTTGGAACCTTCAAAAGTGGAAACCGATCGTTTTCATGGACACCACCAGTAAATTAATCGACCTGAGCACTGCCGAGCTATGGCCAAGGCTTAAGACTTACGAAGCCTAGGAAGGAGAATTGAACAAACAGATCACGTGCAGCTTGTTTTGGTCGAAAAGTTGTCTTAGTCAATGTTGGTTTTAGACCGGTCGCGTCATTTGTGCTTGGTTTTGGCACTTGGCTGTAATATTCAGGGTTTGTTGCAGATTGGTTTCATAGTTCAGGGCTAGTTGCCAAAGAGTGAGTAGGTTGAGTTGCCAGAGGGCTTAAAAGCATTAGCACTGGTTGGCAGTTGTTGGCTGAAAGATTTAGGGGTGGTTTCTTGCAAAACAGTTTTGCCAATGAGGGCTAGCTGTTGAACATCAAGGCTAGCTGCGAAGCCATAGGTTGGCTGGTTGGTGGGTGGTTGGTTTGTTGGTTGGTTGGTTGGTTGGCTGGTTGGTTGGTTGGTTGGTTGGTTGGTTGGTTGCGCAAATCTGATGAAGAATATGGATGTGTCGCATAAGCAGCGATGCTTGAACAAGGCAACCCAACAGTTGCACCGTTGCGCCCTTAGCTGAAGACAGGATGCTTTGGCCCCAAGGAGGACTTTTTGTTCAGGTGCGTTTGCCTCTAGAAATCCCGTGGTAGAACGGTAGAACCATGGGCGTCTCGGTTAATTTCATGGATCCTATTTTTGAGAAACCCTCCATCCTAGGATTTCATCTGCCACAAGGTCCTCCCAAACAAATCTTGGGAGCGGCTTCCCATGCCGCTGGGCCAAAGCCTGCGGCCTGTGAGGCATCATGGGCTTCGGCCACGACAGCCGCTGTGGGCACATTGATGCCTCGAAGGCTGGGAGTTTTTTTTCATGGGATCGTGTCAAGGTTCGGCACGCCCATGCAGATGGCAATGGATGGGCCGAGCCGGGGGAACAACTTGTACTGCGCGCAAATGGGCAGAAAAGGCATGCCCGTGCGATGCTTTATGTTGCCTTGGTTGCGCCCAGTTGGTCTTGCACTTCAGGTTCTCTCTGCCAGAAAGATTTGAGGGCTCCGGAAAGCAAATGAAAGCCTGAAGAGGAACGGTATCTAAGCCCATCGTTTTTCGGCTTGGAGACCGGCGCCAGGATCGTCGGGGGCGAGTTTCAAGCTGTGATTCTGGCGAAGCCTTGGCCATTTCGGGAGCCAGCATGTAACATGAGGCCAACAAACCAAGTTCCTGGGCATTGTGATTTGCGGAAGGCTCGTGTGATTCTGGGGGTACCTTCCCCACCTTTCCAGGGATCCTTGTTTCTAGAAACCTCCGGAAATGCAGGGAACACGGATCCGGTTTTTGGAAAGAACGATGGTTGAAAATAATGGAAAAGGAATCAATCCCTATAGAGTGATGGTACAGATGCCAGGCCCAAAACCTCCCCGGCCGCTCAACGGCTCCGTTCAGGTGGGCCCGGGCCTGTGCAAGAACGGCTGCGGGCTGAAGGTGGCGCCGGGCTCCGACTCCAAGGCCGATGGGAGATCTCGACGCCAATTTCAGTCCACCGAAACCAAAAACTTCCATTTTGCTTAAGAACATTTTACATTTTCCCTGTTGGGTTTTAAAGGGAATCTATCACTACTGAAAATATGTTTGATTTTCCCGGGGCCATGGGCAAATGGAAGAAAAGGAAACAGACAACCACAACATAAGGTCCACTTGAAACAAAAAGAAAAACCGAAGAACCGACCAAGAAACACAGCTTGGATGAAGGAAAGCATCCGCCAACAGACACAACTTGGAGTGAGGACAAACGAAACAATTCCAACCACAAATTGAATTTTCCCGGAAACATACGGGGAGAACAAAAAACGGAGAAACGCTGGACGCCCGTTTCGGGCTGCGATTTTCACGCTGGCTCCCAGGGCCGGCCCCTGACCACCTGCTGCCGGGGCTGTGCGCTGGGCTTGGCGCACGACCGGAACTGCGGGCGGCTGGCCGCGCCGGTGGAGGAGGGCATGTGCGCCTGGGCCGGGTGTGGGGCAGGCGTCGGGCGCGCCATAGGGCATGACGGAGACCGGGGGTTGGGAATGAGCCTGTGGATGGACGAAATCCATTTCGCACCACCTGAGACGCCCGCGAATGACGATTCCGCCGTAAATACCAATGAACAATGGTTTTCCATCATGGTTTCCAAGTGGTGCAGGATTTCGTCCATCCACAGGGATTCCCTTAAAACCCAAGGGGATGGGGTACGATGGGTGGTGAATGACAAAAACCGGGGCGTTGGCTGAATGAGCCGGTTTGGGGGGATTCCCGTAAAGGCAGCCAAAAAGGGATGGTTTATACATGCCCTCATTCCTAGCTAAGAATCAGCCAGACTTTTTGTGATACTGTGGAGTGGGTGAAATCCGCAAATCTCGCAACAAAAAGGAACCCATGGTTGAAACATCGTGGTTTAGTGGTATTTACGTTGGACAATCATCAGAGAGACCAGGGCTTCTTAGGTGGTGCAGGATTTATTCAACAGATCCATTGCCTTGCTCAGGAGGCTTTCTGTACTACCATTGTGGGGGTTGTTTGAAAATGAGAGCCAAGGAGTGCAAGCATCCGTTTTCGGAAGTGCCCCATTTTGAAGACAAGCCCATGTTTCCACATTTTCAAGCAAGATTAAACATCACTCGTTGGACCACATTTTGGGTGTTTCTTGTTGGGTGGGCTGATGTTGAAGGCGGAAATGCAGGGAGGTTGACCTGGAAATGCCACCAGAATACGAGGTCGGACTTTAGCAACGCAAATTGTCAACAGTGTTGACTCCGGAGACGTCAGGATGAAGCGTGTCTGAATGTATGGCCACTAAAACAGGTTCTTGCTGATCTGCTTCGGGTTGAGCTTAGGGGGCTGCCCTGGAAGAGCACAATCCCACTAAACAGGATCTTGTCTGACAAGTGCGGTTTATCATTCAGGCTTGTGGCAGCCTTCTCCAAGAAAAAGGTTGAATCTAGGGTAGGCTGCATATTGCATACGGTTGCCATCCTATGTAAGGTGTTCCCCAGGTTTGGGCCGAACCCTTCCGAGTGAGGCAAGATGGGCTGCGGCCGCAAGGTAGCACCCGGCACTACCCGCAGCGGCAAGTCCTACGACACTTGCTGCCGCGACTGTGCGCAGTACGGGGGCTCCAGCCATTCCTCCAACTGCATCGCGCCGCTCGCCGCGGTTCGGTATTGTTTGGGCTGGTTGATCGGTTTTCGGGTTGGTTGGTTGGTTGGTTGGTTGGTTGGTTGGTTGGTTGGTTGGTTGGTTGGTTGGTTGGTTGGTTGGATATGCTTGGTTGGTTTGGTTTAGTTTTGCTGACGTATGTTCGCTCAAGCCTTTCAAGCTTTCCACTTCATTTGCGCGCTCCGAAAGGCAGCCAGAAGTGTCAAGATAATGCCAAAGATCTTTCAACACCTTGTCGCCTTGTAATTGTGAGGTATGTTGCACGTTCACTGGTCAAGAAGCTACGCAGAATTCGCCCTGCGGGCCGCCACAAGGGACAAGTTGTGTTTTGTGCGGCGCTCGCGCCCAGCTTTTTAATTTAATCATTGTTGGCCACAACTTTGCAACACACGCCCGATGCATTTTACTCGGATGTTCCAATGTGTTCTTTGTTGATCATTGAACCTCACAATGCACAACCGACACATTTAGGATATTGCCAAGCATTTCATTTATCGTACAATCTCGCAATGTGCGCCCTGCATTGCCATTGGGAACCCGAGGAAGCACGTGTATCCAGCCTGGACCAAGCGCAGGCTTTTTGCCAAGCAATCAAGGGAACAAAGAAAAACATGCGAGCGCTTCCGACAAACAAATGCCCCTAAGCTTTCTGCACAGCTATCGCAGCACCGGGAAACGCCACCAGCAGCTGATACTTTAAGGCTGCGGATGCTGGACAGCCGGGCCTCATCCAAGTTTTACTCATATCACACAAGAGGCACATGACGAGGCTTATGCATGTTCAAGCACACCCATGATGATGCTGGAATGTCACAAAAAGCAGGAATACAGACAAACACAGGTTCGTACGAGCACTAGATGTTGAGCCCAACATGCAGGCCCCAAAAGCCCTCAAGCCCTCAGCTTTGACAAGGATTCTGGCAGAACTCAAGGTCTCACCCCAACGTCTACACGCTAGCGTCGGTATTGACTCCTGAGGTTTTCCAAGCCTGAACTTGTTTGTTTGCACCTCATTCCATGTGATTCGCTGGCAGCCAAAGCTGCAAAGATTCCCTTTCATGGATTTCATGGGATTTTACCCAATATTCGCCAACAGTTTCTCACGTTTTTTCTTGACCCCTGTGCAGGTGAGGCTGTCCAACAGCTCCGCGCGTCTTCCTGGCTTTGCGGACCAGCGAACGCCGCGCGAGTTCAGACACGCGGACCGCATCGAGCGCGGAGCTGCGAGTGTGTTTCACCAGCGGGCGAACTAAAGAACAGGGACCCGCCTTAGAGCTTGCCAGATGGCCTTAACAAGCACCATGCTACTTCTTTGGCTTCACAGGCGTGTCACTTCCACTCTGTGAATTTGGGGTGGGGCGTTCGTGACAGATCTGTTCATAGGGTCCTTCTCGACTCGCGGAGCAAGTGCTGGCAGCCTTGCGGCGCGAGCTTGGGGCTACAGGGCCGCACATCGATACGGACAGGCGGAAGAAAAAGGGTTAGCTTGGAGAAGAAATGCGACAGGTCATGGTTGTTGGGACACATGTTGCATGTTTGCTTATCGTGGTTTAGTGGGGACATCCCCACTTAACTGCTAAAACATGTTGTTTTTGGCGCTCCCCTTCCAACGTCAACCAAGAGGTTGTCTTCCCGGTTCAGCTGCATGCTTGGTCGATTTGTCGATGGAGTTGCCGGAAACGAAGAGGCCAACAGCTGTTGGCTCACCAGGGCTGGGAGAACGCTGGAACGGTTGAGCCCCAATGGAAGACAGCCACTGGCGCTTCTCCCAGCTTTCATTTGGCGATGATGATTGGAGCCAGGGTGCCAAAGCAAACGGGCATAATAGCGGGCTAGTCAGTGCCAACAGTCCAACAGCTTCTTGGATGACTTGGGCCAAAAGCAAACCGTTGCTTACGAGTGGTTCTCGAACAACAGGCACCCAATTGTCTCCTACTCGACAGGTACAAAGAACCTGCGCACAGTTGATGTTCCTTCTCAAGCCGATTTCCGCGCTTTTTGCGGAAGCCTGGAGGAACCATGGTCCCTTGAGGCCCCGTTAAACATGAATAGCTCTCTTCGTAGCCCCAGGGCTCGAAGGCCCAGGGCTCGCATGCGCCAGGCTGACATTGCGCCCTTCCGGGGCATGCTGCTGGGGCTTTTCTTTGCCAGGGCGCCAGCTGAGCTTGGGGAAGTTGGCTCGGGGGATTGGCACGGCTGGCGCCAAGTGTCAGAAGTCATTCATGACTGCTATTGGGTTGGATCTTTAGGCTTTAACTTCTTGTGTTTTCCGCTAAACCCCCCCAAAAGTTAAACTTTTTGCAGGGGGGTCAACAGCAACCAAGTCATTGTTCCAACGCATTGCCCCGATGAAGACGTGGACCAACATCTGAGTCTTAGGCCCAGAGGTTTTCTTTTGGGGTCAATCCACAGCAATCGATTTCGCCGGCAGCTTCGCAGAAACACGGCTCTCAATGGTCCCGGACCAGTCCCCAAGCACACCAGGAAAACCCAAGCAGCACTGATAGGTGCGGAGGCGGGTCAAAGTTAACAACTGGGGCCCATGCAACCTGGTGGAATGTGGCATGGGGCGCCCTTTGTCATATCAGCATCAGGTCAAATGTGATCTCTTGGGGAAGTTGAATCCGGGGCAGGGTGATGCCTTCACCCCGCACATCAGTGTTGCCCCCATGTCCGTTGAGGAAGCAAGGGCTTTTAGCCCATGGGGTCGGTGGCAAGTTGGCTTTCACTCAAAATCCATCCAACCAGCCAGCCATCCATCCTTCTACACGCCAATGGGGGACGGCGGGTCGCTGGCTGGGAGGAACAAAGCTGCAGGTCACCGTTGGCTTCTCCTTCGACGTGACCTTATTGGTGCCATGCCTCAGATGCATGGGACAGGCTTGAGAACAAATTTGGCCGCACGCTTGGGGTGGCCGGTGTTTTGTTACCCGCGCTTGCCTTTGCAAGCTCAGGCAAAATTCCGAGCTAGCTGTAAGTTCCAACGCCCATAGTGCCGCAACCCGCCGTCAGGTTGGCACTAGCACACAGTCGTCATGGGTAGGTTTATTGCCCAGCCACGAACATAGAATCTCACTGGACGCCCTCGGAGGATTTTTCCCTGTAAGGGACACAGTTATTTGATTCAACCCCCGGACCACCAAGCCCCGCAAGGGACAACCGGAATACAACCTTGAACAAACTGCAGTGTAGTGGCTAGATTTTCCCCAAAGGGGACCTCTAAAAATGAACTAAAGATGGGTTGGCATCGTATTGGCGTACCTCAAATGATTTGACATGGGGCCCAAGAAATTGCACACCCTCATGCACAACCGTTTCCATTTGGGCCTTTGGGTCCGCTCCCTTCAACTTCTTCAGTTCCCCACGCTGTGCGCTTCCTGTCTTTCGGGTCCAAATCAAGGAGATCCGCCTTTGGGTCCCCGTTGGGTGCTGAAGCGGCCGGGATGCCGGACCCCCCGAAAGGTGTTGACAACCTCCCGTGTTTTGCTGTTGCTCGCTTTGGTGCGTGTCTCCATGGAGTGCGAAGCGGGGGCTTCAACGAAATGAGAGTCCGACGTTTTTTTTTTCTGCTGCACTCACTATAGCAAGCTTGGCGCGCAAAAGGGGGACACGTCGAGCAATTGCAAAGATTTCCACAAACTCAGAATCCTAGTCCCTCACTTCCGGTTTGCAATCATTGTGACAGATTGTTGGGCAAAAATCAATTTGTCAAAATAGATATCTTGAAACTGGCTTGCTTTGTTTTCTCAGCATGGCGGCATTCTTTTGAGTGGGGATAGGATTCAATCTAATTTGATAGTTACATGCCCCAGTGCCTCCCCATTTCCTGGAAACATGGAGGCCTGTTCGAGAGCTACACACATGCGCAGGGGGGGTTCCACTTTCTGCTCCACCTAGGTAGAAACACTTAAAGCGACCTGACCTGGACACTGCAAATTACTATGTTATCAAGGGATTGAACCCCGGAATTTTAGGGCAATAACACATTTTCAGGGTAGTTTGAGGGTCCGGCGCCTCTTCGTATTTCAGCTTCGTCCTGAAAGAATTCACTTCCAGCCCCCCTCGCACGAAAAGTTGCAGCATTCCGAGACTCATCACTGGGTCACGGTGCTGCCCCTTGTGGCCCTGATCCTGTTGATCAAGGCGCGTTGGTCGGGGGGCAAAGTTGCGGAAGTTGCTACCATATGGGTGTGGCTCAAAATTATGCAGGTTTTGGTCCATGTTTCCACTTACCAGGTTTTTGAGCCACAGCCATATTGGACTGACCCAGGTTGCTTGGCCCGAAGAATTTCCTGCACCACTGGTAGTTGTTTCAAATGTTGGCGCTTTATGGGCAGAGCTTAACCAGCAGAACGCTGACATTTGCCGAAAGAGCTAGCGGAGAGCCGCTAGCCCAAGCAGGTACCCCGGAGAGTGCCTCTAATTTCAGAACTTACCAAGGTTCCATCAAGCATTGCCTGGATGACGTAGGTGTTTGAGCCAAGAAAGCGTCAGCTTGATTGCTACTCGGTTGGATCTTTAGTCCTTCACTTTTTTGGACGTCAATAGTTTTCCGTCTTGAGGTTCCTTGCAGCAACCAAGTCAGCCTATCCATGTCCTGCGCGAGGCACTTGTAGTGGTGCTGCTGGGTGTGTCCCGTGGTCTCTCGGGCGCCTCTGCAGTGCAGGCGTCGCGAGGGGGGGGGGGTGGGGGGTGGGGAGTGGGGGGGCGAGTCGATTCGGGCGCTTGGCGCGACGCTTGGACTTTTTGGAGTAGGGCATTGGCCCAAGAAGCAACTACCAGAGAGGTTGGTTTCCCGCTGGATTCCACTCGGCATAGTCCAAGCAGGGGCTTCCGTGTTGCCACAAAGCCGCATCGAAAGGCCGCCTCGCATGGATATAATGGACCAATCTGGTTGATATCCTTTGTGCACGGTTCCGGATCGTCAGTGACAAGGGGCACGCCCCCGATTGATCAGCCAGGGCCAAAGAGATATCCTTGGGGTATCAGGTGAGGAACGCTGGTGATGCCCGTAGTCCCCTGGAAAGAACTTGTTGATCGCTCAGAAAGCGGAGTGTGCGGCTGTCAAATATATGTGGGCCTCGCCGGATGGCCGTTTTTTGCTTGGCCTCCCTTACCAATGAATCCAGGGTTTTGACATGCCCAGGAGGTTTTCCCACGTGGCTGCATTCTGATTTTCATGGGTTGCGCACTCCAAACCCGAGGTGGAAAACTGCTTCCGCAGAAGGCAGTGCTGCTGCGAAAGGTGATTGCGAAGCTGGTTGCCAGTGCGCTAAACAAGCACACACGATGTGCAAGAAGTAATTAGGGACCAACGCATCCATCGTCACAAGTAAAGCCCACCAAAGTCTGCCACCTGTAGCTTTGTGTCCTTCAGCAGTTTGTTCCAGACGGCAGGGGCCTTGTTCCACCCTTCAGGCACAACGCCGACTCGACCAGTCTGCTGAGGAACACCCCCTGGACATATGTTGGGCGGCATCTCAGAAGAAATCTTTCACTTGGGGAAGCGCTCTAAGACTCTGGGGGTTGATTCCCCATTCTTTTCAGCCATCCTTCTTTTACACCAGCCGCTTCCCCAGGCTTTTGGGTGGTTTTTTCTAGAAAGATTCGGATGCCTGGAAAGAATTTGGTCATGGAAGGTACCCCCAGAAAGACGCTGAGACTCCACCAGGCACTTCCCTCCCGGGCTCAACACGGGGGCTCTTTTCTTCCCATCAGGCCTCGGCTTTGCTGGCGCCCGGCGGGGAGTTCGCGCTGGTGCTCTTCCGTCTGGCGGAGCAGGCGCCGCGAGCAAAGCGAATCGGGGGTCCGGCTTCTTTCCAAAAAACCCGTGGATTCTGAGCGTCTTTCTGGGGGTACCTTCCATGACCAAATTCTTTCCAGGCATCCGAATCTTGCTAAAAGCCACCCACCACCCTGGGGAAACAGAGCTGGTTGTTTGAAAAGAAGGATGGTTGAAAAGAATGGAATCGGAATCGACCCCTAGAAGAATGCAGCGATTTGGCGGCCGAACAGCACGAGGAGATCCCAAACTTGGGATGTGCCACCCTGCCTCAAATTCCTTTCAGGGGAGAAAAACAGGTTCATTCCAAGGACCAGCTAGTTTTGCTCTGTTTTACCTATGGCCATAACACAAGACATGGTAGTTTACGTGGAGCCATCTCAATGAATCCGCGTGAGGTGGGCATCATGCCAACTTCTGTGGCGCCTTGGTGCGGATTGTGGAGGATCGAGTCGAGCGGCCAGCCCCATCAAGCTTCCAAGCGAATGGACCTTTGGTTTTTTTTTTGGTTTTCCAGCGGTTTTCCATATTTTTGGCCCACTTTCTGGCCCCAAAAGGTTTCTTTTTGCATTCCCAGGTCCGAACTGGGCAGATAAGATTCTCCCCTTCGAATCCCTGTGCAGCAGGTGGAGGGGTTGGCCGTGAGAGGTTCAAGGCCTGCCAAGCAAAGGCAAGAGATGATGTGGTACTTGCCATTTATATTTTTTTGATGGCTTTGAACGTACTTGGCGAGAGCTGCCCTTGCATTGCGCACCAGCTGGCTTTGACGTTCGTTCTCCAGCCTCCTAGCTTGGTAGCCACGTTGCGAGGACGGTAGGGGCCTTCCCGTGTTGCAAATCTTTGGGGGGGGGGGGCGTGATTCACCACATTTCGAGCTTTACTTGCAGCCACTTGCAGCCCCTCCTTGGTGTCAGCAAGAGGGTGGTCCCTAGGTGCGCGTCCTCGCCCGGGCCTCGGTCGGCCTCCTTGGTGCGGCCCCTTCACTCGTTCTCAGTGCCACCTGCTGAGCCAGCGGCATGGAGAATGCCAACGCTTTGAGGCATTTTGGAAAGAGAGACTTCTATGGCAACGCTTTGAGGCATTTGTTTTGTAAAGGCTTCGCTGGCACTTCGCTGGAGTTCTGTGGGATAAGTTGCTGCTGTGAAGCAATGTCAGCTTCGGGTCATTCCACGAGACCGTGCCAATTGGAGGCGGCAACCTCACATGCACTCAGTCCCCCAGTGAAACAACGAGCGCGCCTGATGGTCTGCTGGTTTAGCTGCTTCGCTCAGAGCGTTAAGCGTGCGGTTTTCTCCACCGGGCAGGGCATACCAACTTTTGCCAACCATGATAGGGCAATAGTCGACCTCCTTATGGCTTATGTGAACCAATGAGGCAGGCGTTGCGCTGCCCCCCTCAATAGTCCTCGTGGTGGGACAATGCAATTCATTCAATGCAACCGGGTATCCATCATTCAGAATAAGCGGCAGAAAAAGGCCTTTACATTGCCCAGTTGCAAATCAAATGCATCTATACATGACTATTGCACCAAAACATGGGTACCCACCCGCCTCCCCCCCAACAACAATGGTGGTGTCCCTTCGAAAACAAGTCCCTGCTTCCCTTCAAAAACCACCAAAAACAGGTCCCTGTCTCCCTCCAAAAGCCACCAAACACCGGGTACCTCGGTCCAAACGCTTCGTTCTCTCAGGTCACCAGCTCCGTGCTCTCTATGGCGGTGATGCCGCTGCTGGCGGCCGGCGCCGACGCCTTCGCGCGCAGGACGGGCGCCGATGAGGCCGAAACGCCCTGAACATAGGCGTCCTTTTTAGGTTAGTTTGGTTGAAGCTAGGTGGCACTGGTTTAGATGGGTTTTTGTTTCATGTACCAGGGCCATCTATGTTTCCCAAAGGCCACCAATGCCCCTGAAGGGGCGGAAGGGGTTGGGTCGGTGGTTGGGTCGACCCCCCCAGTCCTTTTGCTTAAGTTGTGTTTCACCTGTAGGTTGGTACGGCCTTGTAGGGAATCTTTCTTTGAAGAGGGGGCGGGGGTTGGGTTGGTGGGAAGGCGGGGGGGGGGGGGGGATTGTTCGAAGAAGAATGCGGGAAGGTTGTGCTTTGGGGGGTGGGGGTGAAGAGATGGATGGCTCGTCGGTGCTTTCTTTTTGTCGTGCCCTTTTTGGGGTTTGGTTCTTGGGGGAAAGAACTCAAAGGCCACTTCCCTCCCCAAGCTCATCTCGCCAGCTGTCCAAACTCAAATCCGCCAGTTCTCGGACCTAACTCACAGCCTTGGCGGAGGAAACAAGATGGCAACTCGGCGAGTGTGGTTCACCAAGAGGTGTGCGGCGTACGGCCTTTCAACGCGGCGATCCCAAGATGCCCACTTGACTAAGCAATGCCTGCCTAGGCAGCCTAGGCACCTGGGAATTTCCCTCAAGGGGGGTTGTTTGCCTTGCTTTGCTGAAGAAGGTTCCCCAAGCGGATTTGTCCAGGATGTCTGAAAAGAGGCCCACTTTTTGTTTGAAAGGCCAATGAACTGGTGTCTTCCTTGCAGGGTCCCCTTTTTTGAAGCAAGCCCATATGCCCACGTTTGGTTGTTTTTGCATCACTTTTTTTGGAGGCCAGTTTACGTCGACTGTTCTTGAGGTGTCTAAGCGGGAAACGAAGGCGCCCTGCTCAGTTCACAATGTGAACAACAACCCACTCGCTGACTTCGCCGTGGAAGTTCACGTGCACTTGCCAAGCGGGAAGAGCCGCTCAGTGCCACTGCCTTAACGTTGGTGCAGCGCTTTCTCTGGCTTGTCTTTGGAGGCAGCTAGTTCCGTCCTCCACATTGCCTACCTTCCGCAAAGACGGCTTTTGCACTGTACATTCGAGGACAAGCTCTCCTAGCCAGGGCGGTGACAGTGGCCCGGTCCAAGAACGGCTGGTGCGGGGTTGGAAGATCTGGTACTGCTTTTGCCGCCATCCTGCATGACGGCTCCGTAGTGACTATGGTGGCCGCAACAGGCAGTTGCAGCTGGTGCGTGTCCAGCAAATCCAAGCAGCTAGAAGTGCTTTTGCTGCCTTTCTGCGCGACGGCTGTGTGGTGACCTGGGGAAATGCTGACCATGGTGGCCACAGCAGGCAGGCGCGAGAGGAGTTGAAGAGTGCAATGCGGCCATTGCAGCCCAGATGTAGCTTGCCGCCGCATTTCATCAGCCTCTTCTGCTTCCTGCAAGAATAGACAGACAAACAAGGCAACTGCCGCAAACACATGCTCCCCTTTCGTCGTTCTTTAAGCGCTTTCTCAGCTCCGGACGTTGGCTGCGAATTGCCGCGACATCCATGGCTGAGGGTGTCGGGGTGCGAAAAGCTGAGGGCCAACTCTTTGCAAAGCCAATAGCCTCCAAACGAGTCCGGCACGAGGCAAACCTTGTGCCGCAACCCCGGCCGCATAGCGACGCCAAGGCCATCTCTTCAGCACGGGGATGTGCAACGGCTGGAGCTTAACGAAGTCAATGGTGGGCAGTGCAACAAGGGCCGCCAGGCCTCTAAGCTACTATTAAGCGCGTAGTCCCGCTTATCTTTTACGGTCCTGCTGGCTTGTACGGAATGCGCTGGAAGCTGCTGAAGCAGCTTTTGCTGCCATCTGGAGGATGGCTCCATGGTGACTTGGGGCCATCTTGTCTTCGCCGGTGGCAGCAGCCAGGTGCGAGAGCAGCTGGTGCGTGTGCAGCAGATCCGAGTAACTTGCCTTGCTTTTGCTGCCATCCTGGACGACGGCTCGGCGGTGACAGCAGCCGGGTTCAATTGTGTTTGTCAGCGTTGTTGAGGTATGGGCGGTGTGAATATTAAATTGGAAAGCAAATAATAGTTGTAAAGCCTCTGAGGTGCCATTTGTTTGGTTTGACTACCTGCAATAATCAGCAAACACTCCGTGGGCCTACCTGCTACTTCGACCCTGCCATCAGGGTACAGACCACAAGGCTTCAGGGTGGACAGGCTACCCAGCGGCACCCACAATGCTTTTGGACAAGCCCGTGATGTTTTTTTGACAACTTAAATTTGTCCAAAGGCATTTGACCTAAGGGGCTCTTGCCCAACTCTGCCTCTCTCAGACCTCCCATGTGAGAGAGCTTCTCTCACACAGGATGCGCGAGAGAAGAGGGCTCGATAACCTCCAGGGGCCCGAGCCTCAGTGTCGAGGTTCGGTGTCCTTGGGCAGTGGAGCGAAGTTTTCGTGGATGTGCTGCGTTTGATCCGTGTCCTTGTATTTTTCACATTGTTTCTGTTTGTGCCGGGCTGAGCTTGCATGCAATCTGTGTGTGTGTGTGTGCGCGTTTGTGTTTGTGTTTGTGTCTGTGTCTGTGTCTGTGTGTCTGTGTCTGTGTGTCTGTGTCTGTCTCTGTCTCTGTCTCTGTGTCTGTGTGTGTTGCCTTGCCTTGCCTTGCCTTGCCTTGCCTTGCCTTGCCGTGCCGTGCCGTGCCGTGCCGTGCCGTGCCGTGCCGTGCCGTGCGTGCGTGCCTGTGTGTGCGTAACACAGGACCCTTCACATTGTTTGCTTTCAAGTTGCCTTTCTTCAAGGCGGATTGCACATGGGTCCCAACAATTTGCTCGCATTGGCAAACTCTCCCTGTTAGTTGATACCTGGTGTTGGCCGATGGTTCAATTGTCAAAGAGGCCCCTAGTTGGGTGCAGCCACGACCTTCAGCAGCACAGCGGTTGCTTGCGGCTCTCGAATCCCCATCCCTACACAGGTTTCCCTTGGACACTCTTGGGTGCGAGTCACATTTTGCCCAAGTGACTTGAACAAATTCACTGGTGAAGCTGGGATGTTGGTCTGGTTCATTTGGCTGGTGCTCAGCAGGGAATGAGGGATTCCTTTCCCATCTCGCCGGTGGATGCAACCCTTTTTTCCAAGCGCGAAGCCACTAGGCTGGACGAGCGCGCGGCCGCAGATGTGCTGCAGGTCACCCGAGGCAGCGATGGCTTTGTGGTGATCTGCGGCCTCTTGGCTTGGCTTTTTGAGGGTCGGTCCCTTCAAGTTGTGTTTTTGCCTTTTGGTTTTGGATGGGGTTCTCAAAATTCGTGGTTTCCATGTCCAAATTTTACCAAGAACAAGCAGCTCCTCGTGTACTTTTTGAGGAACACCATGATGGGTCCTGCGATCTCGGGCCCAGCCCTGCCTTGCTCCCGAGCCCATTAGCAGAAGGGATCCATTGAATGGAAGGAGTTTCCCTTTCGTCAGTGGACTCGTTGGGCGGCATGGCGCCACCCACCCCAGCTGCAACTCTGCTCCCCAGGACTTGTTGGCTGAAAACTGTCCTCAAGCACTGGGAAGCGTCACTGGCCATACTGTGGATGGACGAAATCCATTTCGCACCACTTGGAAACCATGGGAAACCATTGCGCATTGGTATTTACAGGGGAATCATCATTCCTAGGCTTCTTAGGCGGTGCAGGGTTTCGTCCATCCACAGTAGGAAAACGGCGAACGGACCCGAGGTTATAATATGATCGGCCGCACCATCTGCAACCTGATGGACAGCGAGGAGGCGCTTCGGATGGGGTGGCTGGTTTATTCCTGGTCCGTGAAGGGCGGGGATGACTTGCCAAGAATCATCTATATCAAAATGCACCCCATCATTTAATTAGTTGCCGAATTGATCATAAGTTAATGAGCATACCTTCCTAAACTAGAGTGGTTGTGTTCTTTGGTCGTATTGACTGATCTTGGCTTGGGTCATCTGTTCTTTTCGCAGCCTGGCAGAGTGGCAATGCCACACACCTTTGTTGGGAGGATCAATTCTGCGCCGTGGTCTCTTGGTGCCAGGAGCTATGAAATTCGGTCCATCGCAAAACATGAAGGTACTTGGTATGGGGGTGTATATCAATATTCCTGGCCCCAATGACCCTGGGAAGCTTTTCCAATTTAGTGGGAAATATCATATTTTTATTGGTTTCCCCCAATGGTGACCCTATGTAAAGGACCTTTTGATCCATTCCCCTATGACAACCAACATGGGCTGTCCTACTATGTTGTTGCTGCCCCTGGCACCTTTTTCGTTGCCTGAGTCAAGACCTTCTGGACGCAACGGCAGAGAGAGAGAGAGAGAGAGCCAACCTATATCAAGCCCTGTGGCTTTACAAGCGCCCCGGCAAAGAGGCAGCCCGCCCAGCCCGCCAGCCCGCGGGGCGAAGGGGGCGAAAACCGCGAGGCGCAGTACATCGTCTTTGAGGACGACGTGGCGGTGGCGCGGCAGGCGCGGCGGCCCAGCTCGAGTCGAGATCCGAAGCCCCGGGGGCCCCGGCGAAGACTGGCGAAGTCGACGCGGCCGCGAAGTAGACTTCGTTTTTTTGTGTTTTTTTTGGGGGGGGAGGTGGAAGTAAGTAGCACAGGGAGGGGAGAGATGAAAGGCGGCCAACTTGATTCAAAGGCAACTTGCCAGGTCAGGGGCTTGCAAATCACGATTTTGGCCAAAAACAGGTTAGGCGCAAACACAGTGTTTCATTTGAGCTGGTTATTAGCAGGGAAGTTGCATGTTTCCGTCTTGCACCGGAGCAGGAAACGCAATGTTTGATTCATGAACGCGTGTCATTTGCCTCGTGCTGTCTATTTTGGCAACCTCGTAGATGTTTGTTTGTGACGATGCCTGAGAATGGCACTCAGCCACCCTGTTCAAAGAATGGAGTATTGCGTCAGTCAACCGCCAAGGGCAGCCTTTGATAAGTTCGCAAACCCCAAGGTTGCCTCGGGGTTATGGAGATGGTCACCAAACATGGAACGCGAAAAGCGATCATCGCAAAGCTTTGCATATTGGGAAGCATGGTCACCATCCGCACAAGCAACTTGGGGCCATGGCAGGTGCGGGCAGGATCTGGCGCAAACCGTTTGCCAACTTCCATCCGGCAGCTGTCAGCTTAGCTTGGCTCAAGCCGGCCAGGTGGTCCCACCCGCTTGCGCAAGAAGATTCGTAGTTCACCTCTCAAAATAGTGGCCCCTTTTTACGCTTACTCCTGGTGGCTTCCATATGAATACCAACCAAGCAATACAAGATCAACGGAACATAGTGGCTATTCAGGGACTCACTGCAGAACTAGGAGGGGTGTTGGATTCATTTCATACCAGATGGTCGGGGCGTTCACCACACAACCCGTAGTCAGGGAGCTGCGCCTCTCGTGCGCTGAGCTAAATTCTGGATCGACAACTAGGAGGAAGGTATGTGGACTTGTTGGGCGCCATTGATCTCAGGACACCTCAAGTACCATTGGGCCCCTTTCGGGCAACCCCCGATCCGCGAGTGGGCTCTACACACGCGTGGCCCACTTGCACGCAATGGCGTAACGTTGCGGCACGCGCGCAGGACTGTTCGGTCGGGCCAGCCTGCTGGCCACCAAACGCGGCGCAGTGGGAACAGCGCAACATGGCCCGTGATGAATCAGCAGAAACGCCTCACAGATTCATCAGACCGTTGGACACCTCTATCGCATGCCTTTTGGCTCAAGCCGGCTGGGGTGGCTGGACAGAAAGGTTCCGGGGGTCAAAAGCGCAACTGGACCCCATTCGTCAGTTGAATACGGCCCTACTTTGAAATGCGTGGACCTGCCTGGCTCATATGGAGATTGCCAACGCTGGGGGTGCTTTCAGAGTGAGGTAATCGCGAACGGCACATTGCTGCACAAAGCCTCGAAGCACAGCAAAGACAATCACCAAGTGTATACCAACCCATCCAACCCATCAACTAGTCAACATGTCAAGGTGAAGTGAGGACGCGCATCACGCCAACTCCTGACGGGGTCCACGGAATACCGCTGGTGACCCGCGCTGCGAGCATCATGTGGCTGGCCAAAGTGCTTGTCCTTTGCGCCGGCATGGCCGGCACCGGTGCCATGTCGCCTCTACACTGCGCCAATGCGCCATGGCCGCAGGATGCGGGGAGAAGCGGTTGAGAAAAGTGAATCTACAGCATGAACAGGAGGGCATTGGGGGAGTCAGGCATACTACTGGTGACAAGCTCCAACATTTGCTTCACATCAGCTTGCCTGTGTTTGGCAAGGTCCCTCAAGGCCTGGTGCAAGATTGATCACCCATTTCGCATTGCCTAGCCTTGCAGCGCGAAAAGCGGGGCAGGGGGCAGAGTTGAGTCGAGGTAAAGGATGTCTACCTTTACTCCCCAGACATTCCATCAGGTCAATCGACCATAAATTTCTCTCCTTGAGTTTTGATCCTGTCACTTGACCCCAAGCGTTGTTGGATTAGCACTTGTTCGCTCAGGCAAGCGCAGGCTCCCTCAAAGGTGTGCTTGCTCCTTTTGGCTTGGCAAATCCACCAATGTAGACCCTGGCCTGCCACGCTCAGCATGTTGATCACTGTTTATGAAGAGTTCTTATTGTTGGCCCGCATCCCGGGAACCCGGCTCAAGAGCAAGCCCAGCCAGACACGAAATTGGCAACCGTGTAGCTGAGAACCGCAAAGAGCGGGGGGCTTACCCATGAGCGCGGCAGGATCCGCTCAGATCTCATTGGCAGTCCGGATGGTCCGCCCAAGGTGACTCATGACAACTTTGATCCCAAATGCTTGCCAGACTCGATCAGGACTCCCGTGCGGTGCGCTGGGCGGTTCTGGGTTGCTGCAAGGGGTTGCGTGTGTGCAAGCACGCGTGCAATACAGACACACACACACACACACACCTGCGCAAGCCAGCAAGCAACCAAGCATGCACGCAGGCAAGCACGCAAGCCAGCAAGCCAGCACGCAAGCAAGCATTCTTGCAAGCACGCAAGCATGCACACAAGCAAGCACGCAAGCAAGCACGCCCGCAGGCAAGCAGCCAGCACGCAAGCATGCACACACTTGAGCCAGCCCGCAGCGTGCATGTAAGCATAAGCATGCATGTAAGCATGCACGCAAGCATGTAAGCATGCAGGCAAGCAGCCAGCACGCAAGCATGCACGCATGCAAGCCAGCACGCCAGCATGCACGCAAGCAAGCACGCACGCACGCAAGCAGCCAGCACGCAAGCACGCACGCAAGCAAGCCAGCACGCAGCATGTATGTAAGCATGCACGCAAGCATGCACGCATGCAAGCAAGCAGCCAGCACGCAAGCATGCACGCACGCAAGCCAGCACGCAAGCAAGCATGCGTGCAAGCAAGCACGCACGCAGGCAAGCAGCCAGCACGCAAGCATGCACGCACGCAAGCCAGCACGCGGCATGGTTAGCATGCGCGCAAGCATGCAAGCAAGCAAGCAAGCATGCACGCAAACATGCACGCACGCAAGCACGCACGCATGCAGGAAAGCCAGCACGCACGCAAGCAATCACGCATGCACACAAGCACGCACGGCAGGACGCACGCACGCACGAGCGAGAGGCTGCGCGTACGCCCGCTCGCTCGCCCACCCCAAACACATACACACACACACACACACCA